TATGCATGTGTACATGTTCATGTGTGCATGTGTATTTATGTGGGTACCAGATGTGATATATACATGTGTACCTGTTCATGTGTGTTTGGGTATATGTGTATTTATGTGGGTACCAAATGTGATATATGCATGTGTACATGTTCATTTGTATATGGGTGCATGTGTATTTATGTAGGTACCAGATGTGATACATACATGTGTGTTCATGTGTGTTTGGGTATATGTGTATTTATGTGGGTGCTAGGTATGATGTATGCATGTGTACACATTCATGTGTGTATGGTGTACATGCATTAATGTGGGTGCTAGGTGTCTTCCTTAATTGCTCTCCACCTTATATTTGAGAGAGGGTCTCTCAGTGGACCCTCAGTGGTCTATGCTATGCTACATCAGTGTTGAATAGTGTCTGGAATATAGTGTTCATTCATAAGAGCGTGTACAAAAATAGCCAATTTCTGATCAGTAAGACACTGAAAGCAGCAGGTTTAAAATAATTTGCAATGTCACAATTACTAGGTAAGTCTTCTGTGTACACACTTATCTCAGTAATCCACAATGAAAAGGTAGTCTATGCTTTGGGAATAATATACCATTGTTGCTCCCTTCCCCCTTCCCACAGAAGAGCAGCTTAGAGGCGATTTATAGAAAATAAAATGACTATTTCCAAGGCTAACCTGAGTTACATAGTAAGTTCTTGCCTAGCATGGGCTACATGAGACCCTGCTTAGACAAACAAACCCCAACCAGTTTAGGTAGTTGTCCTCTGAAATGCAGGAGATCATCTGTAAGCTGTAAAATAGGCCAAGTTTTAATGTAAAGAGCTCCATTCTGTGTGTATGCATGTTTTGCCTGCACATATGTCTGCACCACATGCATACAGTTCCCTCAGAATCCTGATGGGTTCACCAGAAAATGATTCTGTTTCAGATAACATTCCGCAGATTTCCCCACTAAGGCTCCAGCTGTGGCCGTCAATTGATTACACTTGTTTTGAGGATTATACAGGCCAAAGTCATCTTAGATATTCCTTACAGTGTACACAGTCATTCATTTAACTTTTAGGGTAACTCTTAAAACCTCTGTAAAGGGAAACAATGTGGCCTTGCTGGCCCGGCACCAAGGCATTGTGGCTGCTCCAGAGATTTTCATCTGGAAGCAATTCTACCCTTGAAGGGGCATTTTGCCAAGCCTGGAGACTTCAAGTTTCAACAAACAGGGCGGGAGTGCCACTAGTAGGTGAAGGCTGAGGACGCTGCTTACAAACCTGCTGATCTCTTGGGAAACTAGGAATGTTAAATACACTGGGTTCTCTTCTCAATGGTCCTGATATCTTGCCCAGAAGGCTGGGAGTGGATTTTGTTAATAAGCTGGTAACCTTTTTGCTATCTGTGGAGAAAGAAAGTACCCACCTTTTGCTTAGAGACAGACCTCACCCACATTCCCCAGGATGATTACCCTAACTCTTCTTCCCTAGAACACTATATAGTCACACTTGAGCTTTACTGTGCACCTGGAATTAGACGGATTGTTGCCCGGAAACCTTCCCCCAAATTGAACTATGTTTTAAATATGCTGACAAGCCTGGCGGTGGTGGCACACGCCTTTAAACCCAGCACTTGGGAGGCAGAGGCAGGCGGATCTCTGGGAGTTCGAGACCAGCCTGGTCTACAAGAGCTAGTTCCAGGACAGGCTCCAAAACCACAAAGAAACCCTGTCTTGAAAAACCAAATAAATAAATAAATAAATATGCTGACAGTGAACAGCCTGGCATTGGATGCCCAGAAGTCTCTGATCCAGGTTGATGAGGTTTTCATTCTCGTCTTTCTTGAGGTGCACTTCCCTGTCTTACACCTGCAGGGGATCCCTTCAATGAACCAGGTGGCAGGCAGGCAGGTTCCACTTTCAAATACTGTCCCTGGACTTCTTGTTCCCGAATGGTCTCTAAAGTGACTGAGACTAAAAACCACACAGAAAGTTTCTTTTTGAAAAGGAACAGGGAAAATAGATGCTTGAGCCAACTGCAAACTACAATTCTGTACATTTTAAGAGTTGTACAATGATGGCCCTGTAGGCCCTTTCCTCCCTGGTGTCTGCTCCTGTGGCTATCAGGTGAGGAACCTACTTCTTGATCCTGAACCTCTTCTCAGTCCTTGGCAGTGCAGCTCTTCCAAGAGCCAGGCAGAGACTCCACCTGCTCCTTGGATCAGGCTGCATCATCAGAAACCCGAGCTCAGGAGAGATGTGTTTACTGTAATGTGCTGCCTGTATTTATTATTGTAGAGAACAAGATGAAAAAGACTTTTCAAAGATGTTCTCTTTGCTGCAGCGCTGATCTCAGCACCGCCCACGCCTCTCAATGACTATCCACACCATGAATGAAGAGATTTCTTCTCAAGGAATTGCTTTTTGTTTCCTAACAAAGATGGTAAAAATTCTAAATTGACTATGACTTTCCTCTTTTCTTTTTGGTTTTTCGAGACAGGATTTTCTCTGTGCAGCCCTGGCTGTCCTGAAACTCGCTACGCTAAGTAGAAGAGGCTGGCCTTGAGATCTGTTTGCCTCTGTGCTGGGATCAAAGGTGTGAGCCACCAACACCCAGCTGACTTTCCTCTTTGACTAAATGCAATTCAGGACAAAACTGACAATTAGTGGTGAGATGCAGCAATGAAGATGGCTTTTTTCTCTTTCCTTAGCCCAGATTTTGCAGTAATCCTGCACAGGACCGGGCACAGTGACAAGAGAGGCGGTACATGGACGCTTCTGCAAAGCTCATTTCACAACTCACAAGCAAGTAACATGTCAGGATAGCATCTTAAAACTAGGGGTGGGAGAGACGAACAGCCAGTAAAGCACTCGCTGTGCAAACATGAGGATCTGAGTTTGGGTCCCCGGAACACACAACGGAACACCAAGCACGGTGGCACAAGGTTCCAGTGCTGGAAGACGGGGACAGGTGGGTCTCTGGGGCTCACTGGTAAACCAGTCTAGCCAGACTGGCAAGCTCCAGGACAGTAAGAGACCCTCCCAAGAAATGAGGTAGAGAGCAATTGAGGAAGACTCCGGATACTGACCTGTAGCACATGCGTGTACCTATGTGCACAGTGACCACACACACACACAAACACATTTAAGTGCCACTAAAAAAAAAATCACCAGCAAGATTATTATTATTCATGTTTTGTTTTCAAAAATAGTAAAAGTATCTTTTTTTCCAACCTGAAAACATCGAACACTAAAGTGGGTAGTTAAAAATGCTTTTCACGGGACTGCCCACAGGACTTACTGCTCTTGCAGAGGACCTGGGTTTGGTTCCTAGCACCTACATCAGGCAGCTCCCAACTACTTGCAACTCCAGTTGCAAAGGACCTGACACCCTCCGGCCTCTTTGGTTCCCTGCACACATGTGGTGCATATGAATTCACACAGGTATACACACATACATTAAAAGACTCTTAAAGACAAGCTGGTCTTTGTGTCTTTTACGTCATGCATGCCGATCCCACTCATCTCCTGTTCCCTCTGAAACACCCTCCTCCAACAAAACAAAACAAAATTTAAGATAAAAACGGAAAAAAAGAAAGAAAGAAACGAGGAAGAAGGGGAAAATCTCCACATGGAAGCTGCAGTGTGACACAGTGAGTCACAGTAAACCCTTTATCCCTACATCTTTACACGCAGGCGTTCATCACAAAGAATAACTGGTTTGGTTCGAGGCCTGTCTCTGCTGCACCACTGACACCGGGCCCTCACTGGGACTCTTCCCGGACATCCTGTTGCTGCCCTGTCTCAGAGATTCTGAGGCCGGGGCTGGAAGGACTGCTCCCTGCCCCAGCCTGTGCTCCAGCAGATCACAGATGGGCTGGATGTTGGGGTGGGCCAACACTGAACCCTGGTTTTGAGCCTGGGTAGTTGCAGGGTTGGTCAACCCACACCTCTCCCGTCTTCACCACAGGGTGCCATGGCTAGTTCAGCCCTTGCAGCTATGAGGGGCCAGTCTCCGCTGTCACATCCTCAGGGCGGTTCTCTCACACTCATCTCTCTCCCCTGACCACACCGGAGGAGTGATGGGGACAGCGCTCCCACCTGCCTCAGGCGTCAGCGGGGTGAAATCTCGCCTCCGCCCATGCCAGTGGTACACGTCTTTAATCCCAGGACTCGGGAGGCAGATGCAGGCAGATCTCTGAGTCTGCAGCCAGCCTGGTCTACAGAGTGAGTCCCAGGACAGCCAGGGCTACAGAGTGAGTCCCAGGACAGCCAGGGCTACACAGAGAAACCCTATCTTGAAACAAAACAAAACCAAACCATTAAAAAAAAAAGTTAAAAAGTGCTTCTCCTGGGTTGGCAAGATGGCTCATCCTCTAAAGGTGGTTTCCATGCAGATCTTGTAGCTTAAGTACAATCCTCAACCACGTAAATGTGGGCGAGAGACCCCATTCCACAAAGTTGCCCTCTGGCCTACAGAGGCACACTATGGCATACGTGTGCCTACCACACATTATATACATACTCCAATAAAAATCCTACAAACGCCTTCCCTATAAAACATCGGTGTCTATATAAACTCAGGTGACCGAGGCTGACCTGAACTCTGACCTCTAGCCCTCCCACCTTCACCACCCGGCACTCAGAGCATGGCTGCTTTGAGTTAGCGAGGCGGTCAAAGCAGGACTTTGTTCATGCCAGGCAAGCAATCATTCTACCAACAGTGCTACAGCTGCTTCCCCCAAGATTTGTCCTTAAACTTTTTAATAAAGGACTGAGATGCAGATTTGCTTAAAATAAACAGAATGTGGTGTTATACTTAAACCTATCAACAACTAAGTTCTATAAAAATGCGCACTTAAGGAGTCAAATTTTCTGACTGTATAAAAACTTTGAAGATATGTACCACAAATGAGGCTTCGTTTATGAATACTGTTACTACAGCAAATTTAACTACCTATTAGAACACAGAGTGTGGTATCTTTGCCTTCAAAGTTACAAAATACAAAGTCACTTACATTCAACATTCTCTGGAAATTTCCTGTGAATCTCTTTGTAAGTATCTAAGGCCTTTTGGTAGTTACCTGTAAGTAAACAGAGAAAAAATGTAATAATAGTTAGCTATATAAAGTTATAAAAATATTACTAAATTTAATTAAAATGTTGATTCTAATCCAAAGCATTGGTATACCACAATGGTTTAGATGAGAGCTTACTTTTCATGTTTGCACAATTCTTGAGTCATTTCTGGGAGAAACAGATATACAACGTGGGTGTGCTGTTTCATGCCTGTAACCTTGGCACTCAGGAAGCAGAGGAAGGGGACTTCTGTCATGTGGAGGCCAGCCTGATCACACAGTGAGTTTCAGGACAGCCAGGGCTACACAATAAGACTGGGTTTCAAAAAACAAAACAAAACCCCCCAAAATATATGAATAAACAAAACTGAAAAAGGGTCAGAGTGGAGGAAATGGTTGAGATTTAGTATTCGCTTCTCAACAGAACCAATGCCGTGACTAGCTGATGGATCCACTCTGAGTGGGTGTGGCTCAGTGGTCCCATGCAAAGGAACACGCATCTCAGTCAAACTGTCATCTGACCGGAGCCATGGTCGTGCTAGAGAGTGAGCCCTCCAGTGCAGGACCAGACTAAGTCTGTGATGGATGTCCTGGCCACTTTGAAGACACTGACAGCTATCAGGTAACCACACAGACAACCTCAGTTTGTGCTTCCTTCGGGGTCAGGATTATCTTTTCCTGGGCGTTCTATGGTCTGTGTGGGGTTTATGAACGTAACTCTGACCTCCTAGCTGACTCTCTGGCATTTAAGCTACAGGCATCATCTTTGGACAGAAGCACAAACCTCTGCACCTAATGACGTCTGTTGTAAATAACACACAGTTCTCGCTGTCCCAGGTCTGAATTAATCACTCGGGCAGGAAATGGAAATAGAAACTAATATAAAAAGAATATTTTGTGGTTAACATGTAATGATTTCACGTTAATTTTGAGTAAGAACTCGTTTTTAGGAGAGTTCCTGGAATAGCCTGCAGGCTATGGTGTACTTAGTGGTAGAGTGTTTGCTATTAAATTCAAACCCAGTGCCAATCCACGGCCCTTGCCTTAAATAAAAACAAAACACCCCCACTTTGTAAGCATGACCTTTCCTGTATGTAGTAATTACTATGTTTTTCACATAATATGTATAATAAATTATGTGTGGTTATTCAGAAAGTTAATGTTTAGTAAACATTCAACTGGAACACATTTATATGCATAACTACCTAAAAGAAAAGACAGAAACTAAATAAGAAATGAATAAAGTCAAAACACTTACCACTTCTTCTGAAACAGCTAGCTACCATCAGCTGCCATTTCACTTGTGTGGGTCTAGAAAAGAAAGAAATTAGTGGAAATTAGAGATGAAAAAATAATGAGACGGTGAAACAGATTCATTAAGCTTTCTACCTCTAATTTCTTTGAGTACTTCAGACCTTTTGTTTATTTAGTCTTTATTAACAGCATACAGGCTTACACATTTAGAACAAAAAATTCTTGATCTTGTGTTAGAACAGCCAGGCTTTAATCCAAAGAGAGGGAAAGAGAACTCTATCTATGTCCCTTTCACCTTTAACAAAAATCACATTCTTTTCTAAAGTAATAATCACAACCAGGACCTCTAGAGACTGACTTTACACCCAAGACAGGCATGCGGGCACACGCTTGTGTTCTCAACAATCACAGAAGGCTGAGGCAGGAGGATTGCTGTGATTCTGAAGCCAACTTTGGCTATGCAGTGAGTTCTAGGCTGGGCTGGGCTACTATGGGAGACCCCCCTATCTGAATCAGGAGCAGTCTAGAGAAGTGTTTAAGGTTCCCCTATCTGAATCAGGAGCAGTCTAGAGAAGTGTTTAAGATTCCCTGCCCTCCAAATCCCCCTTGTGCTTCCCCAGGGGCTTCCAGAAGGCCCTTCCAACGCCAAGCTAGTCTGATGGCGAGCCTACCAGTCTGTGTGAACACATACGGGCTTCAATTTCAACACTGCGATGTGCAAGTTATTAATTTTAAGCCCACTGCCCACACACCTATCCCACTGCAATCTAAATAAAATATGCAGTTAATTGTATTACTTTCCTCTTTGAAGCCTGTCACCCTCTCCACCCACTTGTTACACCCAGGGTTCTAGCCAGGCAGTGGGGTGCACACCTTTAATCCCAGCACTCAGGAGGCAGAGGCAGAAGAGCCAGTGCCAGGACTGTTTCAGGACCGCCAGGGCAACAGAGTGAGACCTTGTTCTCCCAACCCATTTTTTTATTCTTTGAGGACTTCATACATGTACACAATAAATAAGATCAGACCCATTCCTAATTCGCCCCTCCAACTTTCCCAGGGCACCTTCTTAACGCGTCCCATTCCTATCTTCTTTTTAGATGACTCACTAAGTCCAATTATGCTACCATGTGTGCATGGGTGTGACTTCGGCTGCCCAACGCTGGATGCTGCTAAGCATCTTTGTTTATGTTTATCAGCGGTGTATACACTGTCTTTGGGGAAAAATGTCCTCAACCTTTGCTCATTTTTGCTACTGTTGAGTTGTCGGAGCTCTTTATATATTTTGGGTAACGACGTACTCTGTGGGTTGCTTTTGTACTCTTACTTGTTAAGCAGAAGATTGAAAATTTGGTGAAGTCTAATATTGCCTATTTCTGTGTTTTGATGGCATTTCTAAGAGGTTTTGTCACATTCAATGGCATGAACAATTTCCACTAAGAGTTTTTATGAGTGTTTTTCTTTTTTAATTTTATGTACATTTGTGTTTTGCCTGTGTGTATGTCTCTGTGAGGGTATAGGATCCCTGGAAGAGGAGGTACAGACAGCTATGAGCTGCCATGTGGGTGTGGGGAATTGAACCCATATCCTCTGGAAGAGCAGCCAATGCTCTTAACTGCTTGAGCTATCTCTCCAGCCCTTTCTTGTGAGTTTTTATAGTTTTTAGTCTTACATTTATTTGGGTCTTTAATCTGTTTTAAATTTAGTTTTGCATACGGGATAAACTAAGGGTTCAACTTTTTGTGGTTGTTGTTTTTGAGATGGAGGACTGATTTGTAACCCAGGCTGTCCTTGAACTCTCAATCCTCCCACCTCAGCCACAGAGTAACCGGATTACTGGTGTGCGCCATCGGTTGGTTTCAAACTTCATTTTCCTGCCATGTAAATATCTAGTTTGTCAAAGAGAAAATAGAAAACAGAAGTATAGGCTTAGACCAGTAAGAACCACTCCATCACGAAGACACAAAACATAAGTGACACGACTAGAGGGGTTTCTAGCATGAGCATCACAAGAAGCAATAAAACTGAAATAAACCATTTGCCAAGTCGCCATAATATGACAGAGGAATGAACATTCCCACTCCTTAAGAGCTTATGTTCTTACAGAAGAGGCAGATTTTATACAACAATAAATACTTAGCACATATAGCTACAATTATTATGTATCAGTTGAAAACAATTTTTTAAATAATTTTTTGTTCTTTTGAGACAGGATTTCTCTGTGTAGCCTTGACTGTCCTTAAACTTGCTTTGTAGACCAATCTGGCCTCAAACTCAGAAATCCACCTGCTTCTGTCTCCTGAGTGCTGGGATTAAAGGCGTGTGTCACCATGCCTGGCAAAATAAAAATGTATTTTAAAAATGATTTAGCATATCAGTACAGAAACTACATGATCAAAAATATAGAGGAAATGTAATTAATGTATACTGAATGCCTCTGTCACTTAAAAAAAACAAAACATAAGACCAGAAGCAAATGAAGGTAAATGCAGAGAAAAGTAGGGAAAGATGTGGAAAGGGACTTTACATGAAAGACATCCATTTTCAGGGAAACTGAAGCATGAAGCACGGAGAGGAATGAGGAGCTCTGAGAGGAACGAGGAGACGCTGATGTGACACAGATGTACATGGCATTGTTTACCAGGTCACATAACTTATCTGGACAGCTGTTCCTGGTGGAATAAATGGCTGAATTAACCCAAGACAAAACTCTGGGAGAGCAGACAGGCCAGCAAAACAAGAGAGAAAATGGAGTTGAGGAATCAGCAAGAAAGGAAATAGAATGAGCAACTAGACATTCCAGAAAGGCCATGTTCAGAACGGAAGCCAGGAGGAGGCTGAGATTAAAAAAGAAACAAAGAGTAATGTTCAATGTATGGCAATTGTAAACTGAAACCAACACAACTTCCTCCTGTTAAGGCTCTTCTAGCAACAAACCTGTCCTAAGACCGAGAAAGTCACTTTCTGATCTGTGAATAAAATACTGCTTGTTCGCTGAGGTTTGGGTAAGGAAAACAGACAAAGTACACTATAAAAGGTATTTAAATTTTTTATGCAAAGGCAAATATATCTGTCACAATAGGGACAAACTAAAATGAAAAAATACAAGAAAATAAAAACTCATTAAAAGATGTTCATGAATTTATTACACTTCTCAGATACTTAATTTTTAGGAATTAAAAATAGCCTCAATGCAAGACATTAACTAAATATAAAATCTAAACAGCTACTTACTGTATAAGAGATGCTCTTTCAAAGTACTGAATAGCTTTTTCACAGAACTGGGTATCGATGTAATAGGCTCCAAGCCACTCAATGACCTCAATATTAGAAGGGAAATACCTGTATGACTAGAGAACACCCAGAGGACGACAATGTGACATCAGCAGTAACACGGAAACTACTCCTGATTACTTTTCCTAGCAGTGGACCTATTTATAAAAGCATGAACTAGCAAAAGAACTCGACAAGTTCTAAAAGTATACAATACTTAGAAAACATAGGTATGCTTGACAGTTTTCAGTTATACATCTGAGCCATATTAATATTTAAAAGAATCAGAAGATGCAAATCATGGTTTAAGGAAAATGAGTTAGTATTTTTCATTTTAATTAATATAATCAAAACTATAGTTTAAGAAAGTTGAATTTTAACAAATAATTATTAGTTCTAAACTAATACGCTTTTCTGAAAAGTTAGGATCCGTGAGAAACTGGAAGGAAGCGAGCCGCACACCCACCTCATAATAATACTGGAAGGCCTGGGACTTGTCCCCTTCACTGTCGTACAGCTCGCCCAGTTTAGACAGAGCTTGGGAATCAGTAGGAACAACGCTGATCAGCTGCATCAGCCACTCAATCGCTTGGTTGGGATCTTCCATTAGCTCGTATCTTGGGTAATGTCAGTTAAGATTCAGGCACCAATAAGTGAGATTGGAACGTGATAATGAAAATGGTTCTAGGCCTCAGGACTGTGCTGTCTGCATTGTTAACCCTACATCTCTGCAGGAGGCGGGAGGCAGGGCAGTGCTGCCCAGCAACACCCTTGCTCTCTTTCTAGTCTGCTCCCCTATGGCTTTCTTCAGTTGTTTCTCCTGCACTCAGAAAAGCAGACGTGTGTGTGTCTGTGTTGTAATGCCCCTCATGGCACTGGAGAGCACTGGGACTCTCTCATTTTGATGAACTTTGACTACAACGTTGGGGAAGAGTAAAAGTTTAGGTAGATTTTTCATATATTGTTACCTTGGTATGTTTCATGTAAATATGTTTAAGAAAAGGATAGGTACACCTGTAATAACTTTAAGTACTATCCATTCTAGATGTAGGTTTAAATTTTTTTCACAAAATTTTAGATTATTACAATGTTTTTGTAGAGCTGGAAATGGAACCAGGACCAAATGTCTAGCAGAATCACTTGAAGCACTGCCCAGGAATGCCGGAATGTTTGCTCAATGACCCCAGCTCTCTTAAGCTCAGCACAGTAAAGAAATTGTCTTCCTGTATTTTTCCTGTGTGTTTTTCCTAATTATAGTATAACCCTAAGGTCAGGCCATCTTCTCTCCGTAGTTTCCTTTAATACCTAGTAAGTCCTCTGCAAATGCACAAGCATTTTGTTTGTATCAACATTTATTGACTATTACTTATTTATATCTGATGATGAATGAAATGAACACATCCCAACACACGGTTCTTTTTATTTAGCAAGAAGTCTCCTGCGGTTTTCAGTTTTGTTTGTGTCAGGTTTTTGTTGTTGTTTTGGAGATGAGGAGAGCTAAAGTGTTGCCAAGCAGGCCTTGCTCTCCAGATCCTCCTGCCTCAGCTCCCTGGCAGCTAGGGTTATAGGTACTCACACTCAGCTTGGTCCTTGTTTTGAACATGGCAAAGCAAATGTGATACCACAAGAAAAAAACATAAGATTCATTCAAAGAGCCTCAAATGCATCAACTAACTACGGCCCAGTCACTAACTAGGCAAGAGCAGAATCATGATGCTTAGTTTCAGGAAAAAAGGACAAATTATACCTCGTAGGGTGTAGCTCAGTGGTAGAGCATTTAGCCAGCAAGAGCAAGGCCCTATGTTCCATCTTAAGCACTGCTTGAAACACAACACACAAAAAAATAAACAAAAGGAATAACTAGAATACTATCTGCTCTAAAACTTTATGAAAAAATTATAGTATACTTTATCCAAAGTAGAATGAATAGTACTCAGTTTAATAATATACCCCACCTTTCTCTAAATATATTTACATGAAATATATCAAGGTAACAGTATATTAAAACTTACCTAAACATGAGCTCTTCCGAATGGCGTGGCCAAAGCTCATCAAAGTGAGAGAAATCACAGTGCTTTTCCAATATAGTGAGGGGCATTACAAGACAAACACATTGACTTTCCTAACCGTGGGTGGGGAAAACAGGAAGCTGAGTGCTGCAGACGCTGACATGACAGCAATACTTCATAGTACTGCATGTAGAGAGCCAAGCACAGGATCTAATCCTGCACACAGCAAACACCGGCGAGAGTGCTGATGAACGAGGCCATGCAGCACTGAAGACTTTTGAGGATAAGTCTCTAGAGAGTTATATTCACTATATCTACACAACAGCTAAAATTAATACATTATCCAAACTCAATAGTACTAGCTAGTCATGAGTCTTCAATAGCCTACATGAGCTTTTTAAACAAAATCAGAATTAGTACAATGCGTATCTAATTAACTTCTAGTCAGAGATTATGTGTATTCAAAATATCCTCAGTTTCTTCAATTAGTTTTTTAAAATAAAAATAAAGAACCATTATTAACTAATTCTTCTTAGGATGCAAATGATCTTTTACCAACTGAACTACTTTCAGCAAGTTAACCTGTCGTATCATCCTTATCAGTTATCTCCATGGCTAATATTATTTAATAATTGATATTCAATTTCCAATTGAGGGAATTAATAATGCCCTTAAGCTTTCAAGAGAGATACACATTTGCTATCTGGCAAAGAACTTGAGCGCTGTTCCGAAGGATTGCATGCAGTTTCAGGAAGGAGTCCAAGGCTTCGTCTAGACGGTTTAGCTTCTTATAGGTGAGGCCTTGAGAAGACAGAAAGCAGCAGCATCACAGGCAGAACTGTACTCAAAGCAACAGCATAAGTATTTAAATGCATGCAAAATCATCCAGAAGAAAAAAATGAAAGTGAACTGCGGCGTTTAAAGAACCATACAGGTTGGGATTTCTCCAAGCGGACATGAGACATGCTATAAACAGCTCCTGTGATTTTAAAGTGGGGGGCGGTTCATCAGGGACAGCAGACGGGAACCGACAAATAGACTCAGAGAATGGAATACATACTGCAGACATGGATCCAGCCATAAAACTTAACAGAAGGGATAATCGTGATGAACTGTGCTAGGACATAGTGATTGTACCCTACAGGGACAAGGGTAGAAGGGGCCTCGCTAGGAAAGGAAAGGGGTCAGCAGGAGTGTGGACACTAGAGAGGACAATGAGCAGAGAAGGCAAATACGATAAAAATACTTTGTGTTCATGAAAATGTCATGAATATGTCATAATTAAACCTATTATTATGTATGATTAATACTCGCTAATAAAATGTTTTAAAAACTCAAAACTTACTTTTAAATTACATAGGAAAAATAAAGCTGAGAGAGTCTAAAAAAATATCTAAAATTTATAAAGTAAAAACAGCATCTAAATAGGCAATTAAGTGACCCCAGGAGGACTGTGCCCTTCTCTTACCTATGCCAGTACAACCCTTTCCAGATTTCAAATGTCACCTCCTCAGTCCCTTCTCGCCATTTCTCAGTGAGGTGTCTCCACTCCCCATTTCTTCCCTGGTCCCATACCTCATCTCCAGGGCTGGCAGACAATCGACTGGCAGGCCAGTCTTCAACCAAACAGAGCAGTCCAGACTTGGTGCTTACGTAACTCAATTCATCGTTCTAATGAACAAAGATCTATTCATCTTTCCCTCTTCCTGTGGTATCTCTGCTGAGGCCAGAGATCATGCTGGGTATCTTCCTCAAATACTCTCTACCTTTATTTTTTGGAGGTAGGGTCTCTTACTGAACCTTGAACTCACCAATTCATCTAGACTAGTTGGCCAGCAAACTCCAGGTTACCTGCCTTTCTTTGCCTACCTAGCGATGGGATGACGGGTATATGTTGCCTTGCCTGATTTTTTAAGTGAGTGTTGAGGATCAGAACTTGGGTTCTCTTGCTTGTGTGGCAAGCACTTTACCAACAGTCATCTCCGCAGCCCCCGACTGAGTTTTTATTTGCAAATTCCTAAACACCAGGAAATAGTTTAAGAGCATCAGACATCCAAGGAAAGATAACAATGCAAAAAAGACAAGAAAAAAAAAACAGAAAAGAAAAAAAAACCCAAAATACAAGCTAAATTCATAATCAAATAAAAACACATTCAAAAAGAAGCATATTTGAAAAGAAACATTGACAGCCAAAGAAACTAGTCCCATACTACAGACATGTATGTGTTTGGCAGCACCTCAGAAGCAACAGTGCTCATATCAGACAACCTCTGGTGACAGGAAGGGAATGAGATGGTCATGAGCCTTCATGTCTTGTAAGAGTACAAATAATACAGTCTGAGGTGCTGGAGAGATGCTCAGTTGTTAAGAGCACTGGCTGCTCTTCTGGAGGACCTAGGTTTGGTTCCTAGCAGCCACACAGTGGCCACAACCACCTGTAACTCCAGTTCCTAGAGATCTGCACCCTGCTCTGGCCTCTGTGTTCCAGCCACACAAGTGGTGCACAGACAGGCATGCGGACAAAACACCCACACACATAAACATGGAAAAAGTATTAAAAATTCTGAAGCATATCTGGCAAAACAGTAAAATGTGTCAAATTGTGGCACTAAACAGCTTCCAAGTACTTTCTGTATATCTGACATTTTCCTAATTACAAAGGAAATAGGTACCCCCCTTGGGAAACATTTAAAAAACACCATCTCATATCATCAAAACTTGGGGACACAGTCAGTCTTATAACTGTGGTTGACAGAGATATCAGAAAAGTCCTTTTGGAGAACAACATAACAATGCTGACCCAAATTTCACATAGCAAGGCTTTTGAATCATTAACTCCACTAAGAATAATGCTATTTTTTAAAAGATGTCGACAATGCCTTAATGTCACGTGCCACGTTGAACTCACCAATGTTATAAAGTGCTTCAGTACAAGAAGAGTCGTTTCTCAGGGCCTCCTTATAGAATTCAGCTGCCTTCTCATAATCACCGTTTGCAAAAACCGTGTTCCCTTTATTAGTGAGAGCGGATGGGTTGTATCTATCTGAGTTCACAGCTAAGTCTGCATAGCTGCTGGCTTGGGCAAATTCATTTTCCTAAAGTATAAAAGATATACAAATTTCAAGTCTAAATTTCAAATCTCCTCAGATTGTTCTGAGATTATTAAAACAATAAATGGACTTTCTGAGATTATAAACAAAGATGAACAGAAACAAATATTTTAAATATCTTAGTTTTGACAAGCTATTTGCAGTTGTCAAGCTCAAACAGCCAAGTATCGTATGGTTGGCTTTTCTAGTCTCATGGTTTGATAACAACAGTATTTATATGTAGGTGGTTCCATGTTCAACGCCCAAGCCCCGTGTCCTCATTTGCTGCGCGTTGCCTTCCCACCTGAAGCACTGAAATAGCTGGAAGGGCCTCGGCATTCCCTGCTCTGCACCTGGCTGCGGCACCCACCAGGCGTTCGTACTTCTGCCCATGCAGGGCTTTCTCTTCCTCTCTCAGCCACAAGCTTGATCAAGACCTTGCCATGGTTCACATGACGCCCATGGACCCCTTCATTTCACTGGGACATGGCCAGCTCTGCCAGGTCAGCGCAGTGAGATTGAGAACCCCTTTAAAATGCCCAAGGCAATGGCAAACACTCCACAGGGTTGGAGCAGTTACCACTATGGCCTTCCTCCAGGTCCTTTTCTGCCCTCAAGAGAAACCCCGTGTCCGCCAGCAGCCACACTCTGCTTTCTCTTCCCCAGGCTATGGAAACCTGTGCTCTGCTTTCTATTTCCCTTCCTATCTGGACGCTGGCTATTATCTGGGAACTCTGGGTCTGGCTTCTTGTACTTGGTGTGTTTGTAAGGTCTCTGGAACATGTATCAAGAGTCTGTTGCTCTTAATGGCCAACTAGCATCCATGTATGGACCACACGGGGTTTATCCCTCGGTCACTGACGCATTTATGCTGCTTTCATTCACCTTTTGGTTGTTAGGAACACCTATGTGTGGACTCTGAACTACAACTTATACAAAAGCCGCACACCAGGAAGTGGAGTGCGGCTGTGAGAAAGCTAAGCCCTACTGTTGTCTTCTGGACAACAACAAGAACTTAGAAACGCTGAGAGGGCTGCTGTTGAGACTGCCGAGAGGAACTCAGCGGAGCCTGCAGAGGTGGGAAGGAGCTGCCATCTGAGGCGGGGTAAAGGGCAAATCAAGTTTGTAGCTGGAAGGCAACTGGCATAAGTGGCGCCCACCTACTTTCAGGAGCCCCAGTGATTGGCATCTAGTAGGCACCCAGTGAATGCTTGTTACAGAGGGTGTTCTGCAACCCTACCTAAGTCATTTAACCTGAGATACCCCGTTCTTCATCACAGCACCACAGCTCAGCACGGTCTCGTGGCTGTCAGTCCACGACAGCTGGGGTCCTCACTAGCAGCCTTTCTCCCTCACTTCTTTAGAGACAGTCTTCTTGCTCATGTCTGCAAACTCGGCTCCTGGCAGCACTTGTCCCAGGCAGCCCTCAGTTTACCTCTTTCCCCTCACACTTTGCATCAGTCTTCTCTGGAGGACTTCCTTAGGTGCGTTCCTAGGCAGAGATTTAGCAATGCAAAAAACATCCTATCAACAGCTCTCAGCTGTAGAGAAGCAAACCTACCAGGTAATACAGGAACGAGAGGTTGGTGGCAGCTGCGCTTTTCACTCTACTGTCCTTTTTTTCAAACATCTTCAAGGTGTCTACAGCCTAGAAACAGAATGTCTGAAATTACTGCCAGTCATACAGCAGTACCCTAAGGTGCAGTTGGGGAAGGTGTCTGTGTGGACTGGGGACAGAGGGGACAGGGGAGCAGCTGTAAATTCAAGAAGACAGTTGGCAGGAGGAAAATCTCATTCAAGAAAAGAACTCATCAAGCAGGAAAGGGTGGAAATCTTACAGAGAGGAATCACAGTTGCATTCAGAGCACACAGATGATTTTAGAGCCCATCAGACCGAGCTGACGGAAGCGGTCAGCTGGGAATAGCAAGCCTTGTCAGCCAGAGAAGCAGTTCCCTCTTCACCCTGCAGCATGGCTGGGATGAGGACCGCAAAACTTTTGCCTAACTCGGTATAACTTCTTCGTGACTGAATATTCTGAGGCTTCTAGTTACAGCTATTACAGACTAATCTGTGGGCTATTTTCCAACAGAAAGCAACCAGAGAAGTTATAGAAACACTATAAACAACTTGGAGGCACTGGAGAGCTACTGAGGTAACCAGAACTTGAAGACCAAGATCCCACAAAGGGTTCCGAATAAAGTACAGCAAAAGGATGAATATATTTTAAGAAAAATGTTCTTTAAAAAGAACACAAGACAGAGGCGAGCACAGGAAAAACGGCTTTTATAAATGTAACTGGGATGCTCGGAGGAGGAGGAAAATGAATCGCTGAACAGTTTTCAAAATCGATAATAGAAAACAATTCTGGGAATGTTACCAAACTATTATCTAAAGTAGATAAATATAATTACATCTTCAAGTCCCAAGAAAGGAAAGTACATGTTTAGCTACCTGTACACAAATGGTATGTAGAACAGTGAGACACCTTACACGAACAGTGCGTGGTTATTCAACCTAGAGGTGATCTTCATACAAGAAGAAAAAGGTGAAAAGGGATAGTGGGTTTTATTTTATTTCTTTTTTTAAAAAATATATTTATGCTTGACATCTTGGTGTCTCCGATTTATGGCAAGCACTTGTGTGCAAGCAAAAATCCTGCCTCCGTTTCCTGCCACCATCAGTCACACCTACTGCCACTAGCCAGAAGAATGTGCCATGCAGGGCTGGAGTCTAATGCTGGGCCAGCCAGCATGCTGACCCAGGTTTGAATAAGAATGAGTTTTTAAACTAGTGGATCCCAAAGCTACTGGTGTTGTGCAGGTACAGCTGGCCGAGAATGTAGAAAGGTTTTGTGTGATGCTTAGCATCACAAGACAACAACAATAACAACAACAAAACCCCAAATTTCATAATGTTGGTTCCCATATGCTAGCACTATTTTAAATGGTTTCAATGACCTTAAAAAAACAGTTAGTCATTTTTAGGCGAGTCTAACACCAGAAAGGAAATATTCTACATCAGATCCTGCCTTCTCAAACTGAGGAAGGCAGACCAGAGTGAGCTCGAGGTCAGTGTGGACTTCACAGCAAACACAAAACCACACACACATGCACACACACCAACAAACAAACAAACACCCCCCACAACCAAACCAAAACCAAAACAACAAAAAATGAGCAAATAAAACAGGAAAAAAAAGGAGATAACAAGATCTGAGTTAATTTTAATAGAAAAAGCTAAGAGTGCTTATTTTTTTGATTTTTATTTTATTATATTATATGTGTTAGTGTTTTGCCTGCATGTATGTCTGTACTGCTTATATGCCTGAGGCTTGCAGAGGTCACAGGGGGCAATAGATTCATGGAGCTGGAATTACAGGTGGTTGTGAGCCGTCATGTGGGTGCTGGGAACCAATCCCAGGTCCTCTGGAGAACAGCCAGTTTCTTAACTGCTGAGACAGCACTCCAGCAGCAAGAATGGTTAGTTTTGGATGGACAGTTATAAAAACATGAACTATAGCAATGCACTATTAACCTGTTTTTAAAAAATAAAAACAAACTTAAAAATAAAATTTTCTCCACTATGTCACCTATAACAGTATACTTCATATTCATAGATTATTTTTCAGGTCCCAAGATCACTTCAGCAATGTAACAAAGACCAATTTGTCTCACATCCTATGATACCACTGCAACAGGGCTTACAGCGGCTGTCTGTTTGATACACGGTTTCATGGAACTCAGTTGACCTCAAACTTAACAATAGCTGAGGATGACCTGAACTTCTGATTCTCCTGCCTCCACCTCCCCAGTGCTGGAATTGCAGGCATGAACCACTGAGGCTGATGGTGGTATTAAAAAAGATTTATTTTAATTATTGTTCTAATTATGTGTATGTGTGTCCTTGTGTTATGGACACGAGAGTGCAGGTGGCCTAGGAGTCCAGAGGAGAGTGTCAGGTCTCCTGGAGCTGGATATATAGGCAGCTGTGAGCTTCCAGACATGGGTGTTGGGAACCAAACTCAGAACCTCTGCAGAAGTATGTGCTCTTAACCTCTGAGCCATCTCTCCAGCCCCCGACAGCAGCATGTTTAATGGTTAAAGGTGTGATGAGTTAATAAAATGATACGACAGACATTCCAGAGGATTCTCTAGAAGTTTTAGTGCTTTGTAAATACTGAAAGACTTAAGTATGGTGATTGGATTCACACAATTGCCCACTTTCTGGTCCTACAGCATAGCAACCATTTAATTACTACATGAACACAGGGATACGTCACTCTGTTCTCCCCAGTTTCTGGAGAGCAGTTACTCCTTTCTATTGTCTTCCAGACAAGAGGAGGATCCTTCAATCAGAACGAAAAGAGAAGGCACAGGCTTGGCCAGTTTGGGAAGGATGCAGTGGCTTCCTGAGCCTTGCTCAGGAATGAAGTTAAAGAGTTGCAGGCACACATGATGCCCTCACCAGCTTAGGAACCAGGAAACCACGGTCATACAGCTTGCTCTTTGCTATCCTGCTTCTTCTTAAAACCCTGCAATCCTCTGCTTCTGTCTCAGCTCTGCTCTACCCGAGCTAGCACTGAAAGGAACAAAACACTCTACCCCACCCCATAGACAACCAGGTAGGAGCTTGCCAGTGAGGGATGCCAGGGTTCTAAGCCAGTGTCTAGCACAGGGAACCCTTCAATCCCAAGAAACATTTGAAACGGCCTCTGAGAAAGCTGTTCATAGAGGGCAAGACAAGAACATGGGACTGCTATTTGGGCTCCCCGCACACACCTGCTTCTCCACGCCTTAGCACTTTGCAGAGCAGTCTGGAAATTCCTAGGCCTGGGCCAGCATAAGGGTTAGCAATTTAACAATATGATATATAAGGAAAGTATTTGTATTTCAAGAAACAGAACCAACATGTAAAAATTGTTAGAGTTTTATGGGTGGGGTAGAGCTCAGGGGTAGGGCACTTCAATAACGTTCTAGAAAGGAGTTCCCCTGTATTTGTCGCTTGGACCAACTAACATGAGAGATGCTGCTGAACTTACTTGGTTAAAGTCCTTCTGTCTCAAGTATGTAATCGCTTTGTTAATCTCCAGATCGTTGGCCAGCTCTACGTACTGAGACGCTTTCACTACTTCCACACACCTATGAGAAAGGCGAGACAAAAAGGGGTACTTGCTTTCATTTCACTTACTTGTATTCTTGACTCCCCCATTTTCTCTCTCTCTCTCCAAGTATGTGTACGTGTGTGTGTTTGCACATCGTATATACCCATTTTTGGTATATACATATACATATGTGTGTGTGCACATATACGGAGTCCAAAGATCAAGGCAGTGATATCCTCCATCATTCTCCACCATGACCATGGCAACTCTTACGGGAGAAAGTATTTAACTGGGACCTGGCTTACAGTTTCAGAAAAGCATGGCGGGGAGACTGGCAGCAGGCACAGCAGGCATGGTGCTGAAATGGTTAAGAGCTAAATCCTGGTCTGCAGGCAGAGAGAGCCTGGGCCTGGAATGAGCTTTTGAAACCTCCAAGTCCACCCTCAGTGATACACTTCTTCCAACAATGCTACACTTCCTAATCCTTCTATTCTTTCTAGTAATGCCACTCCATGGTGACTAAGCATTCAAATATATGAGCCTATCAGGGTCATTCTTATTCAAACAAAAGCACTTACTAATTTTAAAAACAATTAGCTGGGTAGTGGTGCACAGGCCTTTAATCCCAGCATTCAGGAGGTGGAGGCAAGCGATCTCAAGGAGTTCAAGGCCAGCCTAGTCTACAAAGTGAGTTCCAGGACAGCTCAAGAAGTTACACAGAGAAACCCTGTTTTGAAAAACAAACAAAAGAAGAAAAAGAAGAAGAACAACAACAATAACAACAACAACAGAAGGCGTGGGCTGTTTCATTACCCCTGCTTCAGGGAATAAAGCAGAGGACTATTTGTCCTAAGGGTGTGGCTCAGTGGCCTAGTCCATAATTCAAAACACAAAATCCTTTCTTCAACACAAGCTTTCCTGAGAAGCCTTATATAGAAGTGTCTGCCTGCCTGACACAGGGACAGGGGACTCGAGGTCTCTCTGCAATGTACCTGATAGGGACAGAGGACTTTAGGTCTCTCTGCACTGTACCTGACAGGGACAGGGAACTTTAGGTCTCTCTGCACTGTACCTGACAGGGACAGGGGACTTTAGGTCTCTCTGCACTGTACCTGACAGGGACAGGGGACTCAAGGTCTCTGCACTGTACCTGACAGGGACAGGGGACTCAAGGTCTCTGCACTGTACCTGACAGGGACAGGGGACTCGCACTGTACCTGACAGGGACAGAGGATTCCAGGTCTCTCTGCTCTGTACCTGACAGGGACAGGGGACTCGAGGTCTCTCTGCACTGTACCTGACAGGGACAGGGGACTCGAGGTCTCTCTGCACTGTACCTGAAAACTCAGGACTACACAGCAAATATTTATTAAATGTTGACTACATGTCAGACATTATATGTTGGTACACAGGCTGCAAGAGTGAATACTGTAGAGAATAGGAAAGAACAGTAAGGCAAGCTTTTTACAAAAAAATTTAAGGAGTCTGGGGAGCAACACTAGTCTGATACTGATACAGATACTGCAGCTCAGTTTGGAGCACAAGCATGAATAAATTGAGAAAAGGAAAGGTATCCTAGGATGAATAAACAATGTGTCTAAAGATGCAGAAGACCAGCAAGCTGGACCTATGTAAGAGACTCACTGGCTCCATGGATAGAAAGCGCTCAGGAAGTGGAAAGAGAGATGGCCTGAGAAGCCGGCAGAAGCCACGTCATTCAGAACTTCTGTGAAAAGACAAGAATGCTCACTGTACTCTCAAAGTTCAGGGCCAGGATTGAGGACAGTAAGAAACTGAGTGTCGGCGCAAATTCTACACTTAGAAGAATTACTCTAACAGTGGTGGAGAACCATCAGATGATAGGTAGGCAGGATGGGAGGGTTCTGAACAAAAGAGGCTTGAACCTCTACGGCAGGTAGAAAGAGGCTACAGGAGGCCATTCTGAGAGAAAAGGAGGCAGAAGTGATGGGCGGGTGCTGGAATAAAGGACATGGAACTAAGTTGATCTCTGGCTTAGACAGCTGCTTAATTAGTGGTATCACTGCCTCAGATGGGCAGTTCAGGACGGTGCATGTAAATTCACGTTAACACAGGTTAAAAGATAAGCTTGGAACTAAAAAATCTGAATTATAAGCATAAAGAACATAGAGAACACAGGCTGAGCTGGCAGTTGAGCATGTGAGCCTACAATACAGCACTGAGTTTTAGAAAAAGTACTTGGGATTTGACAGATATAACCGACAGTAAGAGGCAGAAACGAACTGAAAACCTTTCTCTTCACTCGTCCAACACAGACTGTCTAGAGGCTTCTACACAAAGAGAGCTTCTGTTTCTCTTAGCAGAAAAACTAGCTGTCTTATATTTAACTCACTTCTGTGACTGACTTAATGAGCACAAGGCTGTCCGACATTCCAACCCCTGCTGTGCGGTGGGACCGGGTTCATACCGCACCCTGAAAGTAGCAGCAGAGAGGAGGCTCTCGTCAGCTCCTTAGGTCCCACTACTTGCTGTCACAGCACACAGAATCGTACCAGCTTATCACAAAGAGCATTATGAAGGACACAGATAAAGAAGGGGATGATGGCTCAGTAAGATGGCGCAGTGGCTGAAGCACTTGCTGCACAACCTGATAACTTGAGTGTGACTTCGAGACCAACCTAAAGGAAGGAGAACGGACTCCACATAGTGGTCCTCTACCTTCTCTATGTGCACCATGCCAACCGCATCCACATCTGATAAATAGAGAGATAACGCGGTGCATCCTGGTGCGATCTGGAAGGGTCCTTAGCACACTGAGGACTCCAGGGTCCTCCACCTTAAAGTCGCAGCATTTTGAGCACTAGATGTGTGAAGGGCTGCAGACATCTGCAATATTGAGAGCACTCTCCCTTCTACTTAGACTGTTCTCCTTCCCTGCATTGTTATCTTTACCAGTGTTTCAGTTCTCAACCCAGATAGCAATACAAGATTTCCATGGCTCCATTTATAAATTAGGCTCTCCTACCAAATGACGTCATAGTGCCCTAGAAAGTGTTATGTCAGGGTAATAATCATTTAGATTGCTTTGTTGTTAATATAATCATTTGTCAACTTAGTTCAACTGTAAACTTCTTGAATTAAAAAAACTGAAAAAGTTTTTTGACTGATCATTAACTTCAGTAACAAGTATTTGCTTTTGGTGTAGCTGTTGCCTTCCTAAGCATGATATTAAATCATAAATGACAAAGAAGACTGATAATTTCATTTCTAAAAGTCCTACTAGAAAATCATTTATTGCAATGCCTTGTTGGATTAAAACTTTTTCAGAATTCAGACACCTGAGGTCAGAGGCAATCAGCCATGGTTTTCCCAATCACTGTTAAGCTGCCAGTTTAACAACTGGATTATACCCTCAGTGAGCATCCTTGTTTTCCCCATGTGGTTTTCTAGCATGTGACAGACAATCCCATTAGTGTGGTAGATGGAGCTTTAACAGCTGACCCTAGCACCAGGAACCGACCTGATTCTATACTATCTGCTTGCCTCAAACCAGTTATAGCCTGGCTAAGAAGGTACTTTTGTCTTGACCACTTTCTAAATTTTAATCTTCTGACTCAAACTCTAGGGTTTTGTAAACCCCTCAGACCATGCTTCTGTTAGTGAGCGCCCCAGCACAAGGAAATGGCGCTCTGTGCAGTTCTCGCAGATCTGTCGGCCTCTTGGGTCATACAGCACACTGGAACTAGTTCTCATGTCCTGGGCTCAGGTTGTTTGGGTTACGTATTCATACAGTCAGATGGTTTAGGTGCTGTTCTCAAAACCAGTGGTTTCACAACACTAGCTCTTCAGAAGCAAAAGAATGAAGTTAGGGCCAACCTTAATCCAGTCACAAAAGTTAACTTAAAACTGATGACAGACCTAACCGGAAGACCTAAAACTACATAAGTCTTGGAAGAAACCATAAGGCAAATGCTTTAAGACAGGGCTGGTGAGATGGCTCCGCAGGTACAGGCACACGCTGCTAAGCCTCCTGACCTGAGTTCCCTCCCTGGATCCATACGGTGGAGAGAAAACTGACTCCCACAAGTCTGACCTCCATGTGCACACAGTGGCATGTTCATGTCCCTCCTCCAAATAAACATGTAAAAAACTAAGCCATCTGGTTTGCAATTATATCTTGGATATGTAACCAGAAGCACAGACAATGAAAGAAGAAACAGAAAAATTAGAATTTGTGTAGAAAGACAATCAACAAAATGTGAGAAACTACTTATGAGTCATAGCTGGTATTAATATCTAGATACAGAGAATTCCTAAAGCTCAACAACAAAACGACAATTCTAAAATAACAAGACTTGAAAAGACAATGTCTGATATGCTCATGAAAACATGCTGAATAATACAAATAATTATTATCTCAAAATACAATGATATAAAATGTCCCCGCCTATTAGATGAGAAACCAAACAAAAACATCTCCATCACCACTTCTCCTCACAACTGACATGAAGGCCCTACTAAGGCAAAGGAGCTCAGACAGGCCTGGTGGGAGAGGCAGGAGGACTGCAAGCTTGAGGCCAGCCTAGGATAGACAGCAAAACCCTGTCTCAGAAACCAACAGACAGACAAGGGAGATGGCTCAGTCAGTAAAGTGCTTGCCACAAAAACATGAGTTCAAATCCCTAGAAGCCTCTGTGACTCCAGCACTCCTCCCTCTGAGAAGACCCGAGGAAGGCACAAGAGAATCCACGAACATTAGAAAACCAGCTAACCTGCCATAAACAGTAGGGAGGAAAAGAAGAGAGACCCTGCCTCAAACAAGGTTCAGAAGGCGAGGTTCAACATCCAAGGTTTTCCTGCAGTATACACAAACGTGAACATGCACAAACATACACACACACAAACACACATCCTCCACAAGCAAAGCATAAAGGTCAACAAGAAAAATGAAACTGTGATTGTCTGTAGATGGTGTAAGTGTGGATAGTCAAAGAACATCTAGAGATGGCTACTCAAGTTAGTAAGTTAATCTGTTGGGAGCTGGAGACATGCTTGGGG